TTTTGTAGCTCTTCCTTTCGGATTGGGGTTCCTTTGGTCGATCTAAGGATTTGCAAGGCTGAGACCTCAGGGGGTTCGCTTTGACTTAAGAAGGGGGTAGACTTCGTGTTCGGGGTGGAGGCTTCAAAGTCAGTGCGCACAAGATGGTGAGGGTGTCAAAGGCTCTATAGCATGCAATGGCCTCCAACCTACTCGTAACAGCGATGGCCTCCAACCTAGAAGCATCACACTATGTACAAATGGATGATTGCCCTAAGAGCTTCTTGGTGTGTGGACTCGAAGAAGTGTTGTCCAAGTCAGAACGTGCCCTGACGGCTTTGTGCATTGAGGTGAACCTGGGGGAGCAGCTATCGGACTATCCGAGCTGTTTGGTGCCTGGCAAGTACACTGTTGTGATTTGCTAAGAACAACAGGAAACTCTGTGTCCAATCTTGAGAACAAGCAAAAGGATGAAAGGACTGCAGTCTAGATCGCAGAGTGGGAGCTAACTATCACAGCAGAGAACGAGTGTTTTCGCCAAATTTGTTTGACCAGATGGGGGATGGGGAGTGACACGACCAAACCTGTGCTAACAGATGGCTCGGGTATCCGAAGCGGTGCCTGGACCCTCGTGCGCAGGGGTCGCTTCAGTCAGTGGAGGAAGGAATTTGATGTTTTGCCTGCAATATGTTGCACTAAAAGCTCATCTAGCGCTACGCCACCGTCTGGACAGGCCATAGAAACTGCACCAGACTTGGTTGGACAGCTAAAGTCCCAGGTTTTGCCTCCAACTTCTTGGACGCCCGCGCCTCAAAGCTCCATTTTCTCTTTGTATCTCTTTGTAAACATCAACAAGACTAGATAAGACATGATAAGACGAGATTGTTTTGACAGCATTTCTGTCACATTCAGGTCGAGCACACATTTGCAGGGGTCGAGTCGGTTGAGTCGGGTATGAAATATATATATATATGCCTGAGGTTCTGGCTCTTGGTGGATCGATCTGTCTTTTTCCTAGTAGCATCTGATATCTGAACCCATAACATTTCCAAGGTCCATGACTTGTGGCGCAGGGAGCCTTCTAAGAAGGATCCAAGAGGCAAGGATGCACTTGGTTCATACTGTTTGTGCAGCTGTGCGACTCTTGATTCAACCATTTCTTAACTTGCAGGACCTGTGCGAGTCGGAGAAGATGCACTCGTGGTGCCATGACCTTGGTCTCTCAATGCAGGATCCATCCGAGGGAGTAAGCTGTTAGAGGTGTATCATCAGACTAGCGTCCTTGTTACTACTAGTAAGGCACTTGTTACTAGTAGCGATGCACTTGTTACTAGGGCACTGGAAGACGTGAATCAAGTTTCCAGTTGGCGTTGCTGAGGCGATCTTTACAACGTGTGAGCATAGAGGACGAGAAAGTGAAGGAGCGGAAGTGGAGGGGAGGGAAGTACCCTTGCAGAGCATCATAACATAGCAAGGCACCGCACGAACGGGGCGATGGTGAACTAATCCCTTAATAGCATGCTATCCTGCAGCACCCAACTAGTAAAGCTTTTGAGCGATGCACATTACTTCTGAAGTGACATGCACTCCCAATTTTCTGGACTAAAATCGATTCAGAGGTACCAAGCCCTAAGGCCTTTGTAACATCAACTGCTGACGACTGAGGCTGACAGCTCGGATTTAGTTTTCCGTTTTTTGTGGGAATTCTTTTCCACGGTCAAAGGAAAGGAAAGGAAAGGCAAGGCAAGGAAAGGAAAGGAAGGAAGGAAGGCTTCTGTGGCTTGTGGCTTTTGTGGCTTCTGGCTTCTTTAGCTTTTGGTTTCGGAGACTTGTCTCTGTGGCTTGTGGCTTCTGTAGCTATTGGTTTCGGCGGCTTTTGGCGTCTGTGGGTTTGGGATTTTGTGGTTTTTGGCTTCTGTAGCTAAGGAAGGAAGGAAGCAAGGAAGGAAGGAAAGAAGGAAGGAAGGAAGGACGAGGGCTCCAGTGGCGTGTGGTTTTGTGGCTTCTCTTTTGGTTTCGGAGACTTGTCTCTGTGTCTTGTGGCTTCTGTAGCTTTTGGTTTTGGCGGCTTTTGGCTTTGGGCTTTTGTTTCTTTTAACTTCTGTAGCGATTAGGTTTGGAGACTTTTGGCTTCTGTAATTTTGACACAGGATTAAGTATATATCCTGGTTAACCTTCCCTTATAATCAAGCCCAGCTCGAGCCCCCAATACAGAACTAATTTAAAACCTGAATTCCACATGTCCACCACCCTAATATTTTGTTCCTAGCAGAAACCTCCCCTCCCCCTATTGATCAAGCCCAGCTAGTCTACTATTATAAAGATATTTGTTTCTTTTTACCTTTTTTTTGGTCAGTATCCAATATCTTCTGATCCATGGGGAAACTGATCTTTTGAACCACTCTTCGAGAGATAGCATTCTGATCCACCCTTTTCCCGCTGATCCTCTCATTCATCAATCATCCTATCAGATCTATCCTGTCAGATCTCTCCTATCAGATCTCTTATCAAGCTTGTGCCAATATACTCAGAGCTCTCATGGTTCAAGCTCTCATGATTCACACAGATTCCCATCAACCAGCATCCATCATCAGGTCCAGGTCATCATCTCATCATCCATCATCAGGTAATCACCTTTATTAAGGTGGTCTCCAATACCTCCAATCTCAAACCTTTTTGATCTTGTTTACCTTGAAGCGGGGGTTGATTAATCCAGTGTTGACATTAGCTATTAGCTTCTCTAGCGTTTGGCTTTTGTTGCTTTTGGGTGCTGTGGCTTTTCGCTTCTATGGTCTTTTTCTTGTGGCTGGCTTAGAAGCTATGCTGCTCACAGTGCTGTGCTGCTCACAACGGCCAGGGCTGTATGCCCTGTGCTGCCGTGAGTTGCCAGGGGGAAGCGACCTGACCGCGAGAGATTTCTTGTTGGACACACTATTGGGAGAGGTTGAACAGTTTACTCGGGAAGGTCCATATGTTTTATGGCCAAAACTAGTGCTGCTTTCATGGATGGTCAGACGCCCAGGAAAGTATGGATGGGAGCTGATAATGATAATGGCCGGCTTACTGATTGCGCTGAATATTTTGCTTACGACAGGTACCCGATTCATGAATAATGTCACCTTGCATGCTTTTGCTATGTACTTGAAGTGTTGCTAGCTAGAAAGTTCCTCGGACCACCTCCTTCCTTTCAGGTGTGGCATGTGCCGTACGCTGAAATGATTTTGCTCCTCGGACTCTATGGGAAAGACCTTTTGTGGTAAGTAGCGGCATTCATTAGAGCGAGAGAGAGGGAGAGAGAGAGTCCCAGCAAGAGCAACCAAAAAGTTAAGAATGTGCAGCTTACGTCACCAACAGCAAGCAGGATGACCATGACCCTAAGAAGCAGAGTGTAGGACAATCAGCAATCGCATGACATGACCCAAAATTTAGTGCGAAGAGTTTCAGGCCATCGAAACGTTGCATTTCAAGTAGCATCGAATAATGAATACTGTAATGTTGAATACCAGCCATCAAGGAAGTATTGTTCCGCATGCCTGTTTATTTTTTCAGCTGCTGAACTACTCCATTTATGCAATTCATGCAAGACAGTGTGTCAAGTTGTCAGCCGCATGAAGAAACAACAGATATTCTCCAACAAAGGTGACTGCAGATTGCAACCTAGTTGACTGTCTAGAACCATCAGAGAGTGCTTCCCATAGTTTGTAAAGCTTTGTAAGAGAACTGAGTTTGGGAATAAGTGAGCTTGAAGTAAGGCCAGAGTTCTTGGTGGAGTTCGAGTACATCCATGACGTAGAGGCAATGATGCTTCTCACACACGAAAGATGTGAGAGCTCTCCAAAAGATGTTTTCTTTCTCAGGATCGGCAAAAAAAACGCCCACTTCTTGGTCGAATCTCAGTGCCCTAGGTGTTCAAAGATCAGGAAGCGATGGTCCAAGGAAGCTTTTCGTTCGTAACAATTGATAAAGTTGGTTGACCCCTGTTTTTCGACAAGTTTGTCAGACTCATTTCTGCACAGTTTACGACGAGCAAAGAGGGGGAGGCCGACTGTGGAGCTTTTGCTCGGGCGCCTTCGATGTGGCTCCACAGAGAGAGAGAGAGTCAACTGAAGCATTTTTTGTTCAACTTCGCCTGTATAGCTCTTAAGACCATCCAACATAATGTATTCATTGCAAAGCAATATGCTTCACTGCCTCACCGAGTGTTTTCAGCCGATTTGTATTTTGGTCCAGCTTGAAGTATGTAACAGACCTAACATGCCAAGATTCTATGATTCACTTTGTTGAATGCCTGTTTGGTTTGCCAAGGCCCCTTTGCTGGCCGAATACAGCTTCTTTGGGCAGATGGGTGTGGAACAGGAGCAATCACTAGCGTTGCCTCATGTGGACCAAATTTTCTTAGCTTCCCTTTTTGATCTGGCAACTGTGTGAGAAGCTATGCAAGTGACTCACCCGGAACTTGTACTGCAGCGGCTCAAGCGTAAGGAGACCTCGCAACGCAAGCGGAAGCAGGGCAGCCAAACGAGAGTGGAAGAATTACACTGACCAGGCTGCGGCTTTTATAATCCGAGCCAGATTGACCAGTTTTGTAAGAGCCGGCAGTTTTGGAGAGCACATTTTTCATTCACTGTTTTACATTAATTATTCGGCTTTCCCTAAAAATCTAGGAACCTCTAGAAACCAAATCATTAGCGTGAACTATCCTGCATCCTACCTAGAAGCCAACTAGTAGCTAGTAGCTCACTAGACACCTACTTAATTAAGCAGGAGCGGAGCGGGCAAAAAAGAGCGATCATTCACAGTGTTACATTGTTTGGCGGAGAACAGCAGCTTTAGTGGAACTCTTGGCTCATTGAGCAAGTTATTGTCAAGGGTTTCCCAACCCAACACAACAGGCTCTAAAGTGTGACATACGCACATATAGTTATATATATATTTACTTATGTATACATATGTAAAACTAAAGCATTGCCAAGGACAGAAAGATTCACACCTTCAACATGATGAGGAACCTGGGTGATGACCACTGATTGCACATCAGCCCTCTCGGAAAAGGGTCCGGCTTTCCCACTTCGCTTGTGCATGTTATCCCCTTGATGGCTCACGAGGAAGAACAGGCCTTGGAAATCGAGGCGCTGCAATCCATTTTTGAAGAAGGAAAGGAGTTTACAAGCATCTCCAACAAAGAGTTTACCATCAAGCTATTGCCATTTCCAGGTGGTGAGGAGGAGAATCATGTCCAAGTGACGCTTCACGTGACGTACACCGATGCGTATCCAGATGAAGCTCCAGCATGGGCATTGGAGGATGTCGGAGGTTTGGGAGATGAGAAGCTTGAGTTGCTACGTCAGAGAATAGAGGAAAGCATTGAATCCTCACTTGGTATGGCAATGATTTACTCAGTGGCGGAAGCATGCCAGGACTTTTTGAAAGAAAACAACCAAAAGGAGCTGTCGATGCATGAGCAGATGATGCTAGGGCAAGCTGAAGAGGAAGGCGACGCTGAGGAGGAAGATGAAGACGATGAAGAGGAGGAGGAGCCCGAATGGAAAGGGTTGCAAGAAAAGAACCTTTGCCCAGAGAGCGAGCGAATCACGCCTGATGCTTTCGCAGCATGGAAGGCAAAGTTTGATGCAGAGATGATCGAGATGGGCGTGCTCAAGCGGGACGAAAACAGATCAAGGACTGGGAAGATGATTTTCTCACAGAGTCCAGAGGCAGGCAAAGACAACGGCTACAATGAGTCCAAGTCGGAGCTTCTGGTCTATGACGCCGCTTTGTTTGGCGAGGATGACGATTTGGAGGAATTGGATGATGATTAGATTGAGACCAGAAAGGATGTGAGCTTTCCCAAGCTTTGCTCTTGCTTGGCTGAAAAAAGAGATCACGCATCAGCTGCAGTTCTTTTCGCCCAAGAAAAGAGCTGAGGCATTGGTAATTTTCCACCGAGTGGGAAGTGTCGATGGAGATTCACGTCTATTCTCAGCTTTTGGACGAGAGCACATGTCTCATGTGGCATGATGTATGCAGCTTCCATCAGAGAACGAGCTAAGGCCAGCAGATATCCATGACCTGACACAAATCGCACAGGAGAGTGGGGGCTTTGTGCTTGGGCTCGTTGGAGCATTGAACTGTTGGACAAAACATATATAATAGCCTTGATAGAGAAGTGAACAGCTGCCCAAGTTCCTAGTGTCTTCTTCTTCTTCTTCTTCTCAATTTTTGTTTGTTGCCGTCTCTGACACTGTTGTGTTGGTTCTGGAGTGGACAGGACGAGGATGCTTCGTCGTCAAGCTTGGGGTAAGTTTCTGAGCTTTGCCAGCTACGCACTTTCAATTGCTTCAGGAAAGCAAACTGTTTCACATCACTGTTGACAGCATGCAATTGACAAGACAATGGTGAAACAGATCTTATAAAGGAGCCACGCAGCGGGAACGGTCTGGCTGCAAGCCAACCATATAGACGACAATTAATCGATATGCAATGTATGTATGTATATATATATATACACATATATCTAAATAATACATACATACATATATATATATATACTCATATGATATATGCACATAGAGATCAGAGTGCACCATGATCTCTGCTTCCTTTTTGCGATTTGCAAGCTCCTTGACAGGGTGAAGACCATGATGCCAAGGTCTTCGATGCCCCGGCTGCCAAATTTGCCTTGAAGCTCAGATATCAGCGGCTTTTGGATGCTGTTTGGCTTCTTGTCCTGGAATGCATGGGAAATCCGTGGCTCCAAGAAATCAGGATGAAGGAACGGAGAAGGACATGTAAAAATAATGGTCTATAAGTGCCAAATAATCTAGGAGCCAAATCATTAGTGCGAGCGTGAGCTATCCTGCGTCCTAGCTAGTAGCTTACTTCTCTCTTGCTCAGTTAAGTAGGCGCCTACTTAATTAAGTAGGAGCGGGCGTTAAAAAACCTTTGTGTTCCCTGCGTTCCTTTTGCCCCAGGCCGGCGATCCAGCATTTGACTGGCGCCATGCTCGCAGAGTGGGAGGGCTCAGCTCCATGGTCACTTGTCTTGGCTTTCGTAAAAGCCCACGGTCTTTTGTTGCTGAGACAAAAGGACACACTCATTGTAGAGTCGTAGAGGATTTCCTTTGAAACACTTATTTTTCTTGGAAGTCTTGGACCTATGGGTTTGCAACTTTCTGATTCAGTTTGAACCTCGCATGAATTCCAGAGCCTGCTCCAAGTCCTTCCCTTCGCATTTGCAAGTTCCTGGATCTGAAGGCGACCCGATTCGATTGTTGCTTATGCGTTTGAGGTCATTAACACTCATGAAAGTAAACATGGAAATCGTCTATGACATTATATGACATGGTAAATTTCTTTAACTTGACAGTTGCTGAAAGACGTCTACTGCGCACACTTTTGCTCTTGTGGTTCCCCAAAGGCCCATAAGTTGTCTTTGGTACTTATCCAGAAAGATGATGCTCACGATTCTCTAGTTTTTAAATGTTTATCACACTTTTTTTCGATCAGTCTTTTTCGTTTCAATAATATTCATCCATTTCAGGAAACTCCTATGTACGTTGCGTGTTCCCGATTCCCACAGGTGCTGAACCTGCATGGGCGGCAGTTGCGAAGAATTGACTTCGAAGCCTTTCAGAGTCTTCGCGGAGACTCGGTGGAACAAGTAGCTTCTTGTTCCTAGTAGCGATGCCAGGAGCCCCTAGTAGCGTCCTTGCTCCTAGTAGTA